ATCCGCAATGAATACCGGCCAGCAAACAACATCATCAGCTCCACCACCCGTCGACAACCGCCACCATCAGTAACACAACCAGATCACCAACTACATCATCAACCAGAAGCAGTATGCCCGCAGGTAACCCTTTTCAATGTGACGTCACAAAATAAATGTTAAAATGAAAAGTTGCATCTATAGCTTTATTAGGTAGAGCACGTCCTTAGGTCATAGCACTTCCACTTCTTGTTGTTGTTCCGCTTCTTTCTGGGCTCACAAAGGAGACATTAAGCCTCGCCGTTCCCGAATTGATTTGGAAAGCCTTCGTATTAGTTTTTTTAAGCACACACTTTGGTACAGCCTGGTGGGTTTATTTGTGTCTGAATCTAGCAACACCTTTGAAAGGGTACCTTCATTTCACGTGTTCCTACTTGATGTCAACGACCTTACGTGGATGAGAGTTATAAGCAGTTTAACGACCCTGATATCCTTCAATCCCTGAGCTAGCAGGTAACAAGATGTTCGTATCAGTTTAGGGAACTTCGTAGCATTCCAAAAAGTTCAAAGAACTTCCTGGAAGATTAGAGAACTTCGTTTAATTTCAGAGAGCTGTTCAGAAATATTCGTAGAAAAGTTTCAAAGTCTTCCCAGAAGTTCAGAGAAGTTTAAAGGTGCTCTGAGATATTGGTAGAATTAAAAAAAGATGTGTAGGATACTTCGAAGAAGTTGAGAAATTTTCCTAGAAGTTATGTGAATCTTTGTAGGCGTTCGGCGACCATTATATGAGTTTCAGCAAATTTGTATAAATTCAGAAATTTTGGTAGAAAATCTTAAACTTCTTAAAAGGTAAGGAAAGTTTGTATAAGCTATAGACAAATTTAAGAAGTTCAGAGAACGTCTAAGAAGTTGGAAGTTCTTAGAATTGAGTTCAAGTTCAAGTACGAAAATTCTAGCAAACCTTGTTTATATACACAGATCTTCGATAATAGGGGAAATGGATGTAATGTCCTAAATGCCCCTAATTAGGACCCATACATAAATTCAGCAATCGACTAGATTTTCAATAGCGTCCAAAAATATCCATTAGTACCGTTCATCTAGATAAAATTGATAGAAAGTAGATTTTTAACGATGGGCCCAATCTTAGATCCATAGGCCAACATTAGAGCCATTTCCCCTATATCAATAAATTGCTTTGAATATATTTCAAGACTATATTATTATTCTGAAGATCTTCAACTCACCAAAAATTCAAATGTCGTCTCTCAAATATTCTTCCAAGCCGGTAAGTTGATCGGGAAGAATTCAAAAAATATCCAGCTGATCGAAGGTTTCAGTTCAGTCTTCTGTATATTTTTTTCTAGACTTCAGGTTGATCAAGTTATTCTGAAGGTCTTCAAAAAATTCAACGTTCTTCTCCAAGATTGGTGGTTGATCAAATAAATCATATCATGTGAATTATATATTTCTGGCAATTTTTTCAAGACGTCAGATAAAAAAAAAGATCTTAATAGGTCAGAAAAAAATTCAAAATTCATATTTAAAATATCTAGCTAATCGAAGATCTGGATATTTTTTCCAGACTTCAGTTAATCAAGTTTATTCCGGAGTTTTTAACTGTTTAAAAATTCAAATGACGTGCTCAGATTTTCCTTCTAGTCAGCAGGTTGATCGAAAAATATTCAAAAAATCTGCAGCTGATCGAAGATTTCTGGGTATTTTTTCTAGACTTCAGGTTGTCGCATAGATCTCCAGCTGCTCAAAAAATAAAATGACTTCTCTCAGATAGTTTCCCTGGTCTTCAGGTTGATCAGGGAATACTTAAAAGTTCTCCAGCTGATCGAAGATATCAGTAATGTCCTGAGCTCTGAGTAACTCCACTTTTTACGTTACTGAATAAAATCTGCGTGAGGAAAAAAGAGAAAGCAATACAATTTTACTCAGTCTGTGAGTTATTTTCATTGACCGTGTAGGCACTCTCTCGAGCTTGCTTTGAACGCTCTGAAAATGATCCTATCCATGTGGCTTTTTGAAGTAAATCTTTGACGTTATCTGGCACACGATCAACCGAACTAGGCCAACCCTGGTGAATGTACTTGACGATGATCTGCATTGAATGGTCATTTCCAGTTTCTTCCATTATCTCAGTGAGCATTGTGTCCGAAATGCTGAGAAAGTTACTAAGTTCCCTCCCCTTGGCTAGTTTTTGCACCTTGCTGTTGGTGGGCGGGCTTAATTTCATGCTTTATAGTGGAGTGTTGGAGACGGTAGGTTTATGGCCGGCGTTGCTGGCTAATGCTGCGATAGAATGGCGTCATGGGCGGGCAAAGGGGATTACTGAGCTTCCCCTCTCTGATAAACCACTGCATGAGAGAACCAAAGATCTAGTCTAGCAGTGATAGTATCACACTTGTTACTCCTTTGATTGAGAGCTGCGTCGTAGTACGCTTACGTATAGGCACTGACGTTGGGTGTGATACTGGCGGGTTTTGCCGCAAATCACTCTTATTTTATTTATTTTTACGGAGATAGATTTATTTGGGTTTGCAAGGGAATTATACTATTGAAATATTTCTGGAAGTGCCCAACAGTACTCCTTCTACTTGCGTGACAAGCTTTCATTGTTGTTTTCGTTGAGGTATTACTCAGGGAACAATGTTAAGCACCATTTTTGTACATGGTATTGTAAATAATCTTATATGTGCTTCATTTTGATTTGGGATAAGTGTTTGAACTATGGCTCGGGATTTCCACTGTGGCGTGCTTCTATTGTGACATATCCATACGTTATTTTGAGGGACGACATAGTCGAAACGTGTGAGTGTAGTTAGAGCATATACCCTATATAATTTAAAAATCAGCTAGGAAACTAATTTCAAGGTGAAGCATTTTAGTCACTTGAAGGTGTCACCTGGGTCGATCTAAGATATAATAAATATAGATCAAAGTCAAAATTACTTGAAACACGATAAATTTTAGATTACATAGCAGTTTAGGTACTTGATAAAGCATGAGTTATGATTGATTAGGTAAATTAGAGATTTCAATTATTTATTAAATTAGGCTAATGAGATATCGTAATCATCAAATGAACTTAAATAAGAAAATTTAGACAGCCTAATAACATAAAGTAGATAAACAAAAGAGTTAGGATGCGGGGGGTCTGCTTAGGAAGGCAACTAGCCTTTAAAGCAACCGGCCTTTATCCTCGGCTTTGGATTGACTTGCGCTCCCATTGCCCCACCAAACGCTGCAACATGAAAATGAAAATGAAAATGAAATGCTGAGAAAGTTACTAAGTTTCATCGAACACGCTGAATATATTAAGTTTTTCAAATTTTTCCACAGCATTTTCGTTCACAAATGGGGATCGAGACAAAGCATCTGCCACTACGTTTTCCTTACCCGTAGCAAACTCGAATGTCAAGTTGTAACGTTGAAGATTCAGCAACATATGTTGAAGACGTTCAATGATTTTTTGAATATATTGATTTCACTGTAACCTTCGGATGACCAACAACCAACTGATCTAAGGGAACACAAGCAAACACAATAGCAAGTAGCTCCTTCATAATTTGAGCGTAGTTCTTCTCAGTGCTCGTCAACGTTCGTGACGCATATCCAATCACTCCGTTGTGCTGGAAAACTGCAACACCCAAACCATAGCAACTAGCATCGCACTCTATCACTAACGGTTGCGTCACGTCATAGTACTTCAGCGTCTTGATGTCCGATACCAAGGATTTCACTGCGTTAAACTCATTTTCTTCGGCTGCTGTCCACTGCCACATAGGTAGCTGACTCGGAGATTAGTTTGCGAAGATTCTTCAGGTTAACACTGAGGTTCGGAGTGTAACGGCTCAGGTAGTTGACCATCTCAACAAACCAATGGACCTCCTTTCTGTTGCATGGCGTCGCAAAGTTCTTGATAGACGATATCTTCGCATCATCTGGTCGTAAACCGTGATCTGTCAGCATATGACCATACAATTTTACGGAAGTTTGACAGAGGTTCATCTTTGATCGATTTAACTTTACGTTGTTTTCTTGTAGACGAATAACGAGCTGTTGCAAGCATTTGTTGTGATTTATAAGCGCTACACCGTAGATGAGCAAATCGTCAGCTAAGCATTCAACGCCTTTTAGTCCCTGAATGACTTCCTGCAGCTTGAGTTGACAAATCTCTGGAGCTGGAGAAATTCCAAACGGCAGACGAGTCCATCGGTACCTACCGAATGGTGTCCAGAAAGTAATCATCTTGCTGCTCGGTTTGTCTAGAACGACGTGCCAAAAACCCTTTTTGGTATCCACCGTGGAAAAAAAATTCGAATTCGCTCCTCACTTTCTTCCGATGTAGTATCCGTTTCTGAAGACGATTCCTCTTGTGAAGTACTCTCTTCCTTCACCACCTTGATCTGGCGATTCGGCTTCCGGTTCTTTGATTTCTCTCCAGCTCGACACATCTTTTCGAAGTGTTTTTTTTTCCTTTGCAACGATGACATCTCTTGCCGAGTGCAGGGCACACACCTTTAACAAACTCGTGGCTGTCCCCGCAGAACTTGCAGCGTTGTACTTTCAATGGCTTCGAACGCCATTTCGGGTCCCTGAACACCTAGCTCCTGCGAGCGCCTGGCTGTTATCTCCTCCATACGACACAAATCGACAACCTTCATCAAACTGCTATCAGCAATTAATTATATGATTTGAGTAGTAGATGTCGCCCCTTCAGTTGTAGGAAAATCATTTTTGCAGTATGGAGAATATCAGAATATCCACGATTTGTGACTAAACATGCTTTCACAGAAGGAAACAAATAAACGAGTGTTTACCTTATCACCATAGTAATGTACTCGTGCAATTTTTGTGCATCTAAAACTGCCCATAAAGACGATAATGAATAAAAAATGAAAATTCTCATTCCTTTTCAAATGGTTTTCTACCATTCCCATACATTCGAAGTGACTGGCCCTCTGGATGTGGATGATGTCAAAAACAACAAAACATGATTAATAGTCAACATCTTGGTTCTCAGATGCTGCCACTTGTTCGACGTTACCATCTTGTACGTAATCAGGTCCGTCTCCAACGTTCCTAGCTTGGTCGAATTAGCCATGACCTTGAGTCGTGTAACAAAATCGTCGATGGCCTCATGACTCGCTTGCGTTGCCGAGAAAAAATCCAACCGATCAACGATCACGTTGCGCTTTGTGACCACTTTATCTTTGATGGCAAGCAGAGCTGCTTGAGGATTTGCCTTCTCGTCCGTGGTAAGTTCAAAATTGAAATATGTCTTCCTCGCTGGTTCACCAACCACGGTCAACAGGAAACTGACCTTTTGAGCATCCTCCTCTCGAGGCCAACGGTCCATTCCGATGGCTTCAGAGTAATCGTTCCAGCTATTTTCAAAGAACTCGAAATTTTCTTCCATATCCTCCACCAAGGCCAATGGTGAGGGTTGCGGCGCCTGCACACTGGCAGCGCACGGTTGCTGCACTTGATGCTGCCGACGCTGCTGCGGTTGCGAAGCACCTGACGATGCATGCACTTCCTGCAACATCTTACGCATCACGTTGGTCTGATGCTCCAGGAACATCTTGAACTGGCTGGCATCCATTTTGATGAGGACTACCACCAATTTTCACTTTTAAAGCAAAATGGCCGCTGACACCAAGCGACTCACTAAAACGATTGCTTTTCAACGAAATGTTTGATTTTTTCCGCGATTTAACTTCACCGTCACAGAAAAATCGATTTGAAGCTCGCGATAGCTTCTGACACCATGTTTTGGTGTTAATAAAACGCGTAACTATCTTTGTACTTATCTTTATTAACAACCAGAATATTCATATAATAAACTACCGCGTTGACTGCGCACTAGTGAATGAATGGAAAATGAAACAATGACAGAGAGAGTGCGTCTAGAGGTGGTGATTTGATTTCATGTGATGTCGTTGGAAGGATCGTTCATGTAATCGATTGCTTGAAATACTGTTAAATAATTTAAGTACAGGGAGAAATTATAAGCACACTTTCAACATGCCACCATTTGTATCCCAATGAAATTTAGCACCTGTTCATCTATGTGTATTGCTGTTGCGGACGACAGGGTCATACATAACCGATGTACTCAGTTGTATCAACCGGTGGAGACTATCGATTTTAAATTGGCTCAAACCGAGGCTCACACTGGACTAGGTCCCAAGTACATCGATGAACGTACCCCACTCTAGTTGAAATTCTAGTACTGCACTCTGTTTTGATTCACTATCAAAGTTTGAAAGATAAAATGAGGAGTTCGTGGATTTCCTACGTTTCGAGGGGTGCATCGATTAACTATGGTTTTATGCTGGTGTTTAAAATATACCGGATTTATACACCGGTATTTGTTGAGATCGGTCTTCCTGGCGGGTTGGAAACCTCTGTTCCATATAGATTAAAGCGCAGCGCTCAAAAGCATAAACCACTTGGCGATCAAACAAAAGTGAAAATGCTCACATTTTTCCGAGCGTGTTCGGATCTGTCTTCACCGCGAATAACAGAAAGATACCTACGTGGAAAGGGCGGCAATCCACGGGAAGCAAATGCGTTACATGACAGGTCCCAATTTAATCTTTTTCTCTGGCGAGAAGAACGTATCTTGTTTGTCAAAATGAGAACAAAAAGTAATAACCCACGTTATGGTCGCGGTTCTTTATAAGATGTTATTTACGGGCAAGTTGACAGATAATAAGTCCGGCAAGTGTGCTCTGGGAGACCGGGGATAAAGTTGCATTTTTCAGTAGAATATTATTTCGGAAATTTATTGCTACAGCTGAGTTACTTCCGATTTTATTTCTTTAAAATAACATTGTTTATGCACTTAGGTGCTTTAGGCTTGTAAAACATTAAGTATCAAAGTAGCTATTTTATACCTACTCATTTAATAAAAAAAAAAACTATCACATATTCACAGGACTATTCGCTATGATAAAACTGGTTCACTTTCAAATGTCATTTTCTGGTAACTTCCACACCATGTTCTGATTATTTTCTACCAAATCAACCTTTGTCGTCGTAGCTCCTGGGTTTGGCATCCCATCGGTACAGTCTCCGTTTGACAAGTGCCAAAGCATAGTCCTCCGGTTCACTGGATGGCACTGCTACTCGATCGAACACTATTTCGTAGTCCACACCATACACCACGAATCCGGTGGCAGTCTTTTCGATCCGTGATGCTCGTTCGATGTTCCGCACATCCGAGATGGCTTTGATTTTGTCCACGTCTGGAAATGTGAGGGGAATTTAGTGCTGGAAGATTTGTTTGAACAATAAAATATGATCACATGGCTTTTTTGGGCTTCAGAGAATTCAAGGTTGCAAATATAAAGGCTTTTAATGTAAAGTCCAGAGCACGCTCAGGACGCGGCCAGATAATTAAAAAAAAATCTCTGGGGTGTGTTCGGTACGCTTCAGACCAATCCATAAGACGTAATGGGTGAGACTGGAGCTTAGTAGATTTCTTTATTCAGGACACATGGTAACTTCTACGTCATTATCCGAAACATCGGGGACAAATCTTAAATCTTAAGGACTTTGCATGGGATTGCTCCAAATGAGTTCCGACAGTGATCAAGTATAAATTCAGAATACATAGGGTATACGTCCCTAACCTCGGTCTAATATGCAGCCATAGATTACGTTTTTAATCATAACTCATCAATTAATTTACCTGCAAACGATATTCTACTGCTAAATGGTATGCTTAGATATGCTTATCATGTCGTTTGCTATCAGGAACCGCAAAAAGTTGAAAAACTTACTTTTTTTAAGACAAAAACTCACCAGGGAAATGTATGTAATATCGGTCTATTGTCCCCAAATTGGGTCTATTTATGGATGCAACTTCGTCCTATCTTGTTTGATCCTCAAAAAAACGCTCTTGGTAACGTTTTCTTATGTATTTTTTTTTATCACTATCACTGTTAACTTAATACTCTTCATTCCTCAAAACATTTCTTAGAGAAAATTTTACGAAAACTACATTAAATCACTCAAGTTAAAAATTAAAAATTAAAAATTTCGCTTATCGTCTTTCGACCGCAGAATATCTAAATCAAAACATTGTGATGTTCATTATACAGATTTGGCAGAAAAAATCTCCCTTCCTGTTCGTTCCTTATCATCCAAATGCAAACCACATTGTTGACGTTACTCTTATTGCTATATGCTGTCAAATGAATTTCATGGGCCAAAGTTAGGAACATAGAAAAGAAATGTGTCCCTAAAGTTGGGTCCATGATTTACTTGTGAAAACGTTGTTAAACAATTAAAATAAACATAAAATATTCAAACAGTAACTGTGAGTTTTACGTCTAGTGTGTATTATCAGGTAATTCCATTCAATAAATGCCATAATCAGGCCATTTGATGATCGTCAGTGCAACCTTCCCATCTTAACCTTAGAAGTCATGGCGGCTAAAAACTCCGAACAGAGTGATATTCTCAACCAGTTTTATTACTTACGAGAGCTGAAAATGTATTGAAATGTTGTGATATAAATTGATTTGTGTGTGGTACACATTTATCAATCATCAGTGATCAATATTTTCCTTATTTTTTGTGTAATATTCCTTAATTAATTATTTATTTGCGTGATAGGCCGAATGAAAGGACTAGACCCACATTACATACCGTAACCCTATACTACAAGGGTAAACCACTGGAAGTAAGGACTCGGACTCAAAATGGGGTAAGTCCAGATGACGATAAATCCAAAATACCCCGTGCGCAAATCTAAAACAAGAATTCCAGAGGGCTCAAATGGTTGGTTGATTGCCTTTATTAACACTCCGAATACGGTGAGTAAAAAACTTTACGCCGACTATGAAGCCTCAGAAAAGCGTGTAACGGCAAGTTTGCAATGGCATAATTTAGCCATTTCTTGATGAATTTCAAAAAGTGTGGTACCCAAGGAATCAAAAATATCTTAAAATGACAAGCGAGCAACGAACCGAATGATAATGCTATGTCAGAAGTGGAAAGCAATAATGATATAATCTTCTTCCTTTTTAATCATGACAAGCAGCCCGTACGACACAGCTCATTCGGGGCGGTAGAAGGAAACGAACAAATTGTTGCTTCACGAAGTAAAGCCGAAGATGATACACGTCTGTTAATGGGATTTTTTTTGTTATGTCTTTTCTCGATTCAGATCAAGCAATGTCCTCATCCGTGTATATTGCAACAAAGCAGGCAAGCAATATATCATTATCCTTCTGCCACTCTGATCGAGCCATGTTACAGAACGAGTTTGTCATGGTAGTCGTAGCAACTGTTTTGTCTGTATCGTTGATTGCTTTATGTGTTTGGATTCGCTGGTGGTACCTCTAGAATTGCTATAGTCTGTAGATTATTTTGATTTTAAAAATATTGAAATAGGGTTGTCTACTTTCTTTAAAAGTGAAAAGAGTCGTTACACGTTTTTTTAAAGGTGTGTTTATGGGTTTTGCAAGTGGCTTAAGATCTATAATTTAGATTTTTGGACACAAATGTTTATAACTAGCGAGAATACAGTCTTGGTTCCTACATATGGATCAAGGAGACAACGGAACGGTCCTCGAAAGATCCGGAACATCCGTAAAAGTAGTCAATACACGAACCTGATCCTAGAGCTCCGTGTTTTTTTTTTCGAAAACATTAGGAACTGTGGTAAGATAAGAAAGCATTTGGGTCGTGACATAAACATGAACCCTGATGACCATGGGACCGTCCTCCGGAAGATCCGGAACATCCGTAAAAGTAGACAATCCACGAAACTGATAATAGAGCTCCGTGGTTTTTTAACATTAGGAACTGTGATATAAGATAGAATTTGGAGTCGTTACATAAACATGGACCTAGATGGCCATCGAACCGTCCTCTGGAAGATCCGGAACATCCGTAAAAGTTATCAATCGATGAAACTGATCCTAGAGTTCTGTGGTTTTTCGAAAATACTTGACACTGTCATATATACATTAATTGGGGGTTGTAACATAAACATGTACCTAGAAGGCCATCGGACCTCCGGAAGATCTGGAACAACCTTAAAAATGGTCAATACACAAAACTGATCAGAGAGTTCAACAGTTTTTTTCAAAAACACGTGGAACTGTGTTAAAGGAAATAGTTTGGGGTCGTAACATTAGCATGGGCCCGAATGACCCTGGGACCGTTCTCCGGAAGATCCGTAAAAGTGGTCCATCCATGAAGGTCCCCCCAAACTGGCGCGTTTTTACGCCGCGGTAGCGGTAGCGAATAAATCACGTTAACCGCGGTAACGAAATTCGCACCGGAGCAGCAGTTTCTTCGCAGCGTGGTAGCGAACGTGAGATTCGTCGTCGGATGAAGAAGATGCGCTTTTGCTAGTTTCTTTACAAGCAGAGGAAAATGCGTTGAAGTATTTTGGCAATTTTCTTGATTTAATTGATATTTGTTTACAGTTTTGTTTGATATTACAGATTTCTCACCACTGGTGATCACGGAAGTTCATGGAATTTTAAAGAAAGTTTGTCATTCTTTAGAAAGTATTACAAAACCTAACTTCCCCTGGAATGCATATCATCAGAAAAATTTGCAGATCTTCGGGAAATTTCATAGACAGAACATGAGGGAAGTTCGCATTACTTCTAAGAAATTTGCAAAACTTCAAAGAAGGTTTGTATATCATCAGATAAATTTGCAGAACTTCAGGAAAATTCTTAGATCATCAAAAACTTAACAGAATTTTAAAGAGGTTCACAGAACTTCAGAAATGTTGATAGATCATTAGAGAAATTTACAAGACATAAGGGAAGCTCACAGAACTTCAGGAAAGTCCGTAGATCATTCAAGTTGAAGATTGAAAAATATATCTTCCGAGGAATTTGTGAAAGTTCAAGGAAGTTCATAGAATATCAAGGAATTTCGTAGAACTTCAGGGAAATGTGAAGAACTTCATACCTGTGCCGTGTTGAGATGTTGGATATTTCCAATAATCATACTGAAGTCTTGGGTGTTTACGATAATTTCTGAGCATGCTGGTATCTTTTTAGATTTTTTCGAAGAACTTTGAAATCTCGGAGAGTCTATTGAGTTCGCTCTTAGTTTTCTCCCGATATTTCAGATGAATTATCGCAGGGATTTTGTTTTTAGTTCGTCTAAATGCTTCTCCGGAACTCACCTAAACATGGACTTGGATGGCCATTGCACCATCCTCCGGAAGATCCGTAAAAGTAGTTCATCCATGAAACTGTGAAAAACCGCGTTTTTTCGAAAACTCTTGGAACTGTGACGGTCCTCCAAAAGATCCGGTACAACCATAAATTGGTAAATCTGTGAAACTGATCATAGAGCTCTGCAGTTCATTTTTAAACACTTTGAACTGTGATATAAGAAAGAATTTTGGGTCGCCACTTAAAAATGGATCCAGATGGGACCGTCCTCTGAAAGATCCTGAGCATTCGTAAAAGTGGTAAATCCATGAACAGATCCTAGAGCTCCACAGTTTTTTTTTTAATATTAGGAACTGTGATACAAGAATGAATTTGGGGTCATGACATAATTATGGCCCAAATGGCTATGGGCATCAGTGAATCAGCGAACTTATTTGTACGAAATTACTCGAAATTTTTGTATTCTAAGTGTTCAGCATCAGCTGAGGATTTAAAAATGCCTGATTTGAAGCTTAGTCAAAAATCTTTAATTGAACCAGCTAACTTTAACTGCGTATGTGTGTCCGTGCACATTTAGCAATATAGTTGTATTCGTGCAACCTGGTGGTGAGGAGATCTAGCCCTCACGTGTGGGTTGGGAGAGGAAAAATATAAACATTTCAGAAGACGATTAAAAAAACACGGTCTAGTATCAGTTTCATGGAATTAGCACTCTTATGGATGTTTAGGATCTCTTGGAGGACGGTCCCACAGCCATCCGGGTCCATGTTTCTGTCACGACCCCAAATTCATTCTTATATCACAGATCGAAATGTTTTAGAAAAAAACGCGGAGCTTTAGGATCAGTTCTATGGATTGACCATTTTACGGATGTTCCGGATCTTCTAGAGGATGGTTCCTTGGTCTTCTGGGTTCATGTTTATGTCACTATCTAAATTCTATCTTATATCACAGTTCCAAGTGTGTTCGAAAAAACCACGGAGCTCTATTTCCAATATTTTTACCAATTATTCTACAGATACCACAATTTTTGAAATGCATTAAGAAATGGCTGAGTTATGCCATTGCAAACTTGCCGTTACACGCTTTTC